AAGGAGTGGGAGGGTTGGAGCAAACAGCCACTCTAGGGTTACCATACATCCTCTTATTCCCGGACATGTCCGGCTTTTCGGCACTCAAACCCCCATCTGGGGGGAATTGCCAAAAAGCCGAACGTGTCCGGGAAAATGGCGGCTCTGCTCCTCCCCTGACTCTTCGGCTCTGTTTAAGAGCCGAGCTGCCCGAGCGCTATGGGCTTCAGGCAGCCCCCTTGCCTCCGGACCCCAGCCGCCAGGCGGGCACTTCCCCGCCCGGGCTCCGGCGGCGCAGGGTCCGGAGGCACGGGGGCTGCCCGAAGCCGGTAGCGCTCGGGCAGCCCGGCTCTTAAAACAGAGCCGAAGAGTCGGGGAGGAGCAGAGCCGCCATTTTCCCGGACATGTTCGGCTTTTTGGCAATTCCCCCCAGACGGGGGTTTGACTGCCGAAAAGCCGGACATGTCCGGGAAAAAGAGGACGTATGGTAACCCTAGTTTAGAGGCTCACAAGAATCAATCAGTTTCCTTCTCCATTTGATCACAAGACTTAGATGAACAAGTAGTTTGTCTTGGAGCAGAGAATTAGATGTCAGGAGACATGAGTTTTTTTATTTTGAGCTGTGCCAATGACTCATTTTGTGACATTTAGGCTAAATCCTGCAAAATGATCTGAACAAGCAGCCCCATGCAGATCACATGGCTCAAGGTCTCATTTTCCCTATCAGTAAAATGTTCATCTATCTTTGCAAACTGGTTGGGATCCTTGCATGAAAGGGTCTGTACACACATGCAAAATATTACAGTTTATTAATGCAATCAAGGCACAGCAAATCTATTCTGTCTTGAGCATTCTTTAGAAGAGTACAAATCATTCTTTTATAATTTGAGGTATAATATTAATAACCAGCAGTAACTCATGTCACAGCTCTGAAGATATCTCCTAGTTTTCACTAGATCATTCACTGTTTAATGTTTCTTTTGGGGGGAGAGGGAAGGTAGAAGGGAAATGCATTAAAATTAATGGGAAAATTAATATTTTCTTGTAGGTTTCTTTCCTTGTATGGCAAAACTCTGAGTCTCCATGCCATTATTCAAAACTTACATTCCACTCTGCTTCCCATGTCATATACAGCTGTGTATTATGGGAGCAAAATTGTGCACTTATGGGGTTAGATTTTCAAAAAAGCTCTGCTTCCTTTTAGGGATGGATTTTCAAAAGTGCTCAAAACCCAGCAGTTTCTTGTATGGCACTTTTGGCCAGATTTTCAAAAAACTAAACACCCACAATACCAGGCTCTTCTGGCCCTAGTTGTGTGTGCTGAGCACTTCTGAAAATTCCAGTGCAATTTTTAAACAAAAGAACTGGAAGAATTAAAAGGATTGATGTGCATAACTTTAGAATGTCAATGTAGCCCTCCACTGATGTTTGTCTGTTTTGGTGTAAAACCTCCTCTGATTTGGAAAAAAAGTGGAACTTGGTGCTTTTTCCAGTGTCCACCAGCAACTTAACAGTGCAGCTAAATTGTCTGGTATCAGATTTTCTAATGTTGGTTTTTCTGCTTTTTCTCTTGTTCAATTCTCTACCCTTTTATGTTTGTTTGTTCATTTTTTGTTTGATTGCACGGCTGCTTGCTGCTTTGGCTGCTTTTGCTGATGCAAATTCAGGTGAAGATTTGGAAAGAAATGATGGATCCACAGCAAAACCGTACTACATGTCAGCTAGTCTGCACCGAATTCTGGGAAAGAAGGAACTAAGCCCTAAGAAGGCAATGGGATAACTTTAAAAAATTGCTGAAAATCAAAACAATGTCACTTTTAAGTGGGATGTGTATAAACTAGGCAAAAGTTAAAACTGTAAATGATGCTTCTGGTTGATGGGTGATTCTTTTTATTTTTGCTTGTATCTAAAATCAATTAGCAATTTGGTAACATCTAACTAGATAGGGAAATGCTTAAACTAAGAGCTGTGAAACAAGGCCACATTTTAGTTTATAGAGTGCCTATGAAAAAGGAAAATGTAAATTTGAATCATTTTTTATCCATAGCTAAAAGTGTTTTAATAACTTTTGTAACACAGGTTGCTGTTTCAAATGACAGCTGTTTTGATAACATTTCTTTTTTTATAAGTGTATCTTTGTAAATGATATTCAGGCAATTTTTGAAAGCACTACAATGTAACCTAATTAGCCATAAAAATAGATCAAGAGACTCTAGCAAACCAGCAGATGGTACTAAATTTGTAAATATGGTGCTATGGTTGTATTTTTACTGTACAAGCTGGTTGGCAGCGATTTAAACTGTGATTATGTATGTACTAATAGTTCCCTACATAGATCTTTTGATCACCTCCATTACAAACTGTATATGTTAATAAATGAGAAAGGGTATCACACAGGTTCAGTCTCAAAGAAGGTAGCTAGAGTAGACTACAGCTAAAACTGCTTTATAGTGAAATCTGTTATAACATAACCCCCTTTAGAACAGAAGTTGGGTTAAACATTAACCTCCATTGAAGGAGTGTTCCACTGTACTTGAAGAACATGGTTTGTGGTTCCCACAAACTTTCTATTTCCATCTGGTGCAAGATGAAAAATGTATAGCTTTCAGCTGCTGTGAATGGGAGATGCCCTTGTATTAGTATCCCCTGTGCCTAATGGTTCTATGATTTTATTCTACATGATGTTGAGGTTGAGCTCCACCTGCAGTATGGAAAGGAAAAACTGAAATGCAGCCATTTTCCTTAGAGGCAAGTCTTCATGGCTCCAAGGAATTCTTATTTCCTGTGTCCATCCCAGATGGGCTTCCTCCCTCCTTCCACAGGCTGAATGCATTGTCTCTGTGGGACTCTCAGGTCCTGTTAGCCCATGGAGTAAGTGGCAAGGGCTAGAAATAAAATCTGAGTCTCTCACCTGATAAAGCAGAGCACTAATTATTTAGACCAAGGAGCCAGGCCCATAATGTTTGGTGTATGTTTAAATCATTAAAATTGCATGGTTATAAATGCAAAGACTAGTAGTAGCTTTATACTATTGGTGTAATACATGTTCGTTTTACACTGAGGGCTTATTTACATGGTGCCAGAAAAGCGCACTAGAGGGGTGTGATTTGTAAAGCGTTTTAATGTGTTGCACCCTAACTGCCCTGTGTGGACCTGCTGATACACTCTAAAAGGACTATAGAATATCAGGGTTGGAAGGGACCTGAGGAGGTCATCTAGTCCAACCCCCTGCTCAAAGCAGGACTAATCCCCAGACAGATTTTTGCCCCAGATCCCTAAATGGCCCCCTCAAGGATTGAAGTCACAACCCTGAGTTTAGGAGGCCAATGCTCAAACCACTGAGCTATCCCTCCAGGAATATGTTAAGGCAAACTAGGTTCCTTTTAGAGCACACCAGCAGGGTCTACACAGGGCTGTTAGAGTGTTAGAGGGTTTTATAAATCACACCTATCTGGTGCTGTGTAGGCAAGCCCTAAAACCCAAATTCTGCAAGCCTTCTGTGCATGGAACTACCACTGAAGTCAAGGATAGTTCCACTTGTGCACGGCTCACAGGATCAGCCCTACGTTTTATCTGAGGATTTATGAAGAGTAATACAAAGAATTCATGATTACTGTAAGTAGGAGGAATGGGGTAACCTTTCAAGGTGATGTTATTTTTGTGAATGGGGCTAAAAATACTTTAACCTATTTAAATACTATTGTAGAATAATTGTTGTAAAGTTTAAGGGGGCCCAGTGGGCCAGCATCCCATGAGCATCCAGAGATCCAAAGCCAGTGAGTCTACGTTCTAGCCTTCATGGGCTAGAGAATTTTGAATTAAGTATTCCATGGCAGTCCACTTAACAGGGTTAGAATTGGCAACATCATCCAGCTCTGTTGCTATTACAGAAAGTGAGCTCCTGGAGTTCAATGAGAACCTCAGCATCAGAAAACAGGGGCAGGTTCTTTTCCAGTTGGCTGAAGATTCAGTCATATGGGAAAGAATTTTTAAGAGCCCATACTTTGCTCTCTGGAGGACAGCTCCATTCCCAAGGTCAACCAAGAAACAAGGGTTGGTATAATACAACAGAGATTAAAGGAGGGCCTTCCTCCATCCTGCACTTGGGTGAATGGGAGGGGAGTAGGAAATTCCCATCATGCCTGAGTAATTTTGTTTATTAATACTAGCCATAGGTTGAATCAGTTGACTACAGGTGAGTTATTCCACCCATATGTTTGGGGTAACTCCTAGGGAATGGAAGGATCTTAAGATCACATGGCCTATGCTTTCAAAAGTGACTAGTACTTCTGAAGGCCTTGATTTTTGAGTGTCCATCTTGAGACACTTTAAAGGACCCTGGCTTTCAGAAAGTGCTGAACACCCACTCTTTGAAAACCAGGCTCTTTTACAAGGCTTCTCAAATTGGGTATCCAAAAATTGAGAAGCAAAAATGCAAGTCTCTTTTGAAAATTTAGGCTAGCATGAACTGTTTGGGCTGTGTGCAATCATTCCATCACCTAAAAGTCTGCTGATCTGCTATTCTGGATCAGGCCCCAATGTAATATAGGATGGTACTGTAATTAGTTCATTAATTTGCACCCAGAAAGACTGAGCAGAGCCATCTATAGTTCTGCAGTGGATTGAAGAGTTTTACTGGGTGCTCTACTGAAAAAGCGTATTTCTGAGTAAAATGCGCTTTTTGCCATATGAATGTAACCGTAGAGTTTAATATCACATAATAGAATATGAATATGACATAATAGAAATAGTAATAATAGTCATATGATTAGAAGTTTTCTTAATAAACCTATGCATTTGCTAGAAGAATTTCTAAACGTTTTAAACTGAATTGATTGTTTATATACCATAGATATATATATATATATAACGTTCCTCCATTCATTACTATTTTGTGAGAATTAATTTAGACTATAAATTTACAATGTTTCTGAGAAGAGCATTTAAAAGCCATTTTTTAAAATGAAGCAATTAAGAGAACTGTGAAAATGCAAAGCAATATCGCTTAAATTCTCCAGTCAATCAGCTGAAATACTTTTTTAAATTATTTAAAATTAAAATTGGTAAAAGAGAACTGAATATTTTGGAATAATGTAGGCAGAAATTAATACAAATATTAATTTGCAAAATAAATCATACTTTTTAAAGAATGTTTAAGACTGATTATTATAATGATTCCTAACTAATCCTTTGGGCCAAATTCTGCCAATTTATGACCTACGCAATCCCAGTGAATTTGGCACTTTACTCTGTTATTTGCTTAAACATGAAGATAAAACTTAATTACTATGTACTTTCTCACTTTAGGGAAGTGGAATATTGGGCTAAGTATGGTATGTTAAGATTGTTTATTATATAGGTTTTGATCCTACACCCACTGAAGTGAGTGGGAAAATTCCCATTGATTTCAAAGGGTAGAGACAGGCCCATATAGTGACAAAAGGCTGATTATTATTCCAACTGTTTACAGTATAATAAATGCCAAAACATCAAGTATTGAAATAAACCTAGAAAGCTAAGAGAGCTGTTGTGCATTAAGAGTTCAGCAGGTGGTGCTATTACTTTTCTTATTGTACTGCTTTGATCATTTACTTTGTGCCATTCTTCCTTCTAGTGGAAGATTTAGAAAGACATGATGGCTCTGCAGAAAGACCCTATTATATGAGTAAATCTCTCTTGAAGATTTTGAACAAGCAGAATGTAGAAACCAAGAGACATTAGAAAATACCCAATGTTGTAACCACCCAATCGTGTTGGATTTAGTCCTGGTTTGATGCATTGTCTTCCCAACACTGTATTAATTGTCGGCTTTTATTTGCATGTTTTATACCAAAGCTTCTATGTAAAGCCATCAGAATTGGTAAGGAAACTGTTTAAAAAACAAAAAACCCAAGATGTGACCATTTTTATACTGAGATTTGTTTTTTTCAAGTTGTATTTAGCTTTTAATTCTAGTGGCTTGGATGTTTTGAAGATGCGGAATATTCTTTTAAATATAAGCATTTAAAAATATGAAATGTTTTCCTGTTGCATATTCTGGTATAGGACAGTAAAAAGATTTCAGAAATCATCATATTAAGCTTATTCTAAAAAGAGAGTCTTTAAATATCCTTCTAAAAATAAATGATCATAAAAATGATTAGACTTAACAGTTTGTCTCTGTATTGTAGTATAGAACTTCAGTCTTTAAACTATTGCCAGTCACCCAGCCTGTACAACTGTGCCCTCTATGACAAAAGTGCCTTACTGGCTATTATTATTACCCAGCTTATATTTTAAAGTTTACATACATAATTTAAACCACAAAATAGAAATTGCTAGATAGGAAAAACAAGACTCTTCCAGCTTAGTTGAAATGAAGTGATATAAAATCAACTGCATTTTAAATACATTTGACAATTTTGCTAAATACTGCAGCATGCACAATTTCCCTATTACTGTTGTCAGATCATGCGTATTTTATGCTCCAAAAAAGAAAGTAAAAGAGAATGTTTTTGTTACAAAAAGAAAATCATGTAAGACTGTTTGGTTTGCTTTAGTAAACTTTTCTAAATCTAATTTAGGGGATGCTGAACTCTTTAACTGGGGGCCCTATTTTGTCTTCAGCTTCAGAGATAGCCCATTGTATTTAGATAATTGAAGGTAGAATTCGGCCCTTGGTATTTAAAATAAAATGAAAAGGGAAGTTAGTAGATATCTGTTACACCAATGTTATATGTTTTTTAGGTTCCCAAATGTAAAGTAGATGCTTCATTTTAAGACTGATTATTTACTATTCTGGAAGTGTTTTATAAATGACCTTTGATTTTCTAACTTTTGATACAAACTATTGGAATATAAGTGCTTCATGTTTAAAATTACTAGTGCTATTAATATAAAAACTGATTGTCTGTTACTATATGTTACAGAAGGGTCCATAAGCATTTATTTCAAATATGTACATGTAAAATCACAAAAAGACAATTTAAAAGTTGAGAAATGAGAGAGAAGTAACTGTCATTTTCACTTATCACATTTTTCATTTTAATGTGACTTTTAGAGATTTATCATTTTCATGCCAAAACCAAACTAATGTGAGCACATGACAGTCTGAGCTCTAAAACCTGTTTGCTTCTGCTGTGCAGAAATATTGGGAATGTATTGTTTAAATATCTTTGATAACTAAAATGTTTAATATTTAATGAAATTTGTTGTTACTTATTGTTTTACAGCTCTTGGGGTTTGTTCTAATAAAGATTTAGATATAAAAGAAGGATGCCTTTGTGCGGTTGCTTTTATTTTGGTGTGTGGCTTTTTAGGTAAATCTCTTCATGAAAACTCACTGTACAAATATTTTAGTTAGATTTATACCGTACTACACCACACAAGTGCACCCATCTCATGTCCTGGGCGCCACTGACATCTTAATACATCTCCTTAAATAAACAGACTCCAGCAATTACCTGCAGATAGTACAGCCTTGGCAGCAACATGATTATAATAAACTTCACCAGCAAAATCACTCCCAGAATGATGCATCAGTGCAATGTGGCGATTAGGAGTATTCAGCTCTTGGCTCAATCCAAGAGCTCTCCTTAATTTGATTTATTTCAAGCCTCTTAGTACCTTGTACAACTTAAAAAAAAATTTGAAGGATCAATATCCATAACATGAAAGCTACTAGGCTGACACTAAAGTAAATGAGTGGTGAACTGAAAATCCAGAGGTGATAGGAAGATTTAGTATTATTATTTATATTGCACTAGTGACTAGGGCTCTCAATCAAAGATTGGGGCACACTGCAAACACATAACAGAAAGACAGATCCTGCCCAGAAGAGCTTACAATCTAAGTAAAGAGCCTAATGTCCTTACTTCAGTTAGATCCCCATTATCATGAAGGGGACAGGAAATTCCAGTTAATATGGATGGACAAATTCCCCTTTAATAAAGTGGCAAAATTTCTGTGAGAAACTAAATAGGACAAAGCTCATAAGACCTGTGGCTCTTGCTATAGCCTCAGGATCAGATCCAAAGCATTCTCATTCAAGGGATATTTGACTTTAGAAAAAGTGACTGAGGGGCAGGATATGTTTGGTATGGAGTGTTGTATTGTTCTCTGGTTTATTACACACAGTTTATTAAACTATGTGTGGGTATCAGACCCAATAATCAGTGATTTTAAGAACACTGTGGCAATCCAAGATGGAGTCTGGAAACTGTCATCTTGTGACTCCATCTTGTGACTTTCTGTACACTGTCAGTCTGGTCTGGATAAAACTGGCCTGAACGGGTTTTTCCTGCCACTGGGTGAGCCCCAAGGTTTCATCACCTCAGACTGTTTCCTGCCTTTCTACAGATTGTACCATGTTTTCCTGCCATAGATTCTATAAAAGAACTGTGATCATAGGCTGATGGTGCCTGAGCTTCACGCTCGCAGGGAAGAGCTGCTGCACCACTGGGTTTGTTTGTTATATAGCTATTAGTCATTTACATTTACCCCTTCCCTAGCTGTGTAATAATATCCCCTAATACATTTACCTGTTTGTTTTGAACCTTATCTCTTGTCAGTTATATTTATTGGGCACCACACAAGGGGAGAGGGGAGGAGATCTGCACTAGTCCGCCAGTGACAGATATGGCAGAGGGCCTTTTTTTGTTTCTATTCCGATACCGACACCACTTTACACATTCAGAGTTATCTTGGCTTCCCTTTGAGATAACAGAAATAAGCCCAAACCTGGGCATCTACAGAAGACATGTTGCAAGGCCCATCTATTTTCCAAAGCTTTCCCGTGATAGCAGAAGACTAGGAAACGCTAACATTTTTTAGACTCAAAAAGAACAAAACAACTTGAAGAGCTTCTGGAACTGGATAGATGTGAAGAGCCTACACTTTCCACTGTCAAAGCTCCTGAGGCTCCTATATTTTAGAGCCTGGGGCATGTACACTGCTGCCCCATTCTAGCTGTCGGGATGCCTATGTCCCACTGTACCCTAGAACAAGTTGTGAATGGGTGTAGGGTTGCCAACAGTCCCTTATTACAAGGGACGTCCCTCGGAGGTGCTGAAACTAGAGGCAGCACCCCCAGCTTGAAGTGGCTTCCATCATATTCAGGGTTTACAGTTTGGTTCAATGGCTCTCAGCACCCCAACTATACAAATTGTTCCAGCACCCCCGACGTCCCTTCTTTTTCCAGCTCTGTACAACAAGATTGGGAGTTGATGAGTGCTGCAAAAAGCAGCAAGAAATACCTGTAGTGAATGTAGGTGAGAACTGCTTAGTAGTAATTATTATTAATAATATTATAATAATATCACAAGGTGGAGTGAGGCTAGAGGGGAGGGATAGCTCAGTGGTTTGAGCATTGGCCTGCTAAACCCAGGGTTGTGAGTTCAATCCTTGATGGGGCCATTTAGGGGTCTGGGGCAAAAAAAATAGTTGGGGATTGGTCCTGCTTTGAGCAGGGGCTTGGACTAGATGACCTCCTGAGGTCCCTTCCAACCCTGATATTCTATGACTGGAGTGCTAAGAAATCAGTCTCTTATTTTTGAAATACAATGTTGTCAACCTGAGGTGGAAGATAAGTATTTGGCCACCTATGTCACATGCAGGGCCTGATCCTGTAGAGAGACATCCTCTGCTCTCACCTACCAGAGCAGGCCCCATTCAAAACCTAGCTGCCAGAAGAGCAGGTGCTGCTGCTGCCTAACTTATGACCCAATAGTTGAAGCATTTGCCTGGGGTGTGTAAGACGCTGGTTCAACTCCCTTTCCCACCCCCCAATCCCTCCGAGGGGGCAAATGGCTTTGAGTAGGGGGTCTCCCACTTCTCAGGACAATACTCTAGCCATTGAGCTATGGAATAGTCTGATACCCCTCAGTCTCTCTGGTTGAAGCTGTTCCATATAGCATAATTAATGGAGCATGGGAAATGGACTGGACAGTCATTGGTAGAGCCCTGCATGGATACACAAATGCGTATCCACATCCAATCCGCAATCCACAAAAATAATCTGTGGATATCTGCATCTGCAGGCGCAGATATCTGTGAGTTTGCAGGGCTCTACACTGGGGGTTGGGCTGAGGCTCCAAGGCATGCCTCCCGCCAGAGCCTGGGTGGGGAGCCCCCATGGCATCGCGGACCCTCCACCTGCTCTCGGCCAGGTGGGGAGCCTGGGGAGTGGGGACATGGCAGGGGACTGCTCTCAGCCCCCCCCCCACACACACACACACACCACGGGCAGGTGGAGGGTCCACCGCAGCTTCCCATGGCTCCCCGATTGGGCTCCACACTGGCCTGTCTGGGGGGAGACCTGTGGAGCTGCCTGAAGGCTGCTCAGGCCCCCTGCCCAGGGCAGGTGGAGGGTCTGCCACAGCTCCCCACAGCTGCCTGCCCCGCTCTAACTGCCCCGCTAGCATGGAGCCCAACCGGGGAGCTGCGACAGACCCTCCACCTGCCCGTGCAGGGGGTGGGGGGGCTGAGAGCAGCCCACCGCCCAGTGTCCCTGCTCCCCAGACTCTCCCCCGCACCCCCAGGGTAGGTGGAGGATCCGTGCTGTGATTTCTCAGCGCTGCCCACCTGGCTCTTACCGTCAGAGCCCAGCGCGGATACAAAATTTGTATCTTTATCCGCGCTGCTATCTGCAGAGATAGTCCGTGGATATAAAGCAGATACCAGCAGATTTGCAGGGCTCTAGTCATTGGGCCAGAGAGAGAGGGACTCTGGCATCCAGTATGTTCACAGAGGTCAAATAGGTGCTTCATTTTATGATGCATTTACTGTTTTAAATAAATTTCCTCCAGTGTTCTAGCCCCTTCAGTGCCCTGAGTAGAGTGCAGCAAGAGGCGCTGGTGTCGTCCATCCATTGAACGTCTAGAGCAGTGCCAAGGGCTGCTCATACTCAGAGACTGTCTTTTTAGTCCTCTGGGACTAAGGCACTTAAAAGTCTCAGTCTCAGATCAGCCTCAATTTGGAGTTCCTCCGCCACCTCAGGAGCAGCACCAGGGGCTCAGCAGGGGAAAGCAGAGGCAGAGGGAGCGAGGCAGAGACTGGCTAGTGTGGGATTTCAAAGAGTGAGCAGGTAGGGGCCTCTCACGAAGGAGAAAAGGGGGAAGCTGGGGGGCCTGTGTCTTGGTGAAGTAGCATGTGGTAGGGGAAAGGGAAAGCAAGGGGGGCCTGTGACTTGGTGAGGGGAGGTGAAAGGGGAGCAAGTGCATGGCATAGGTAGGGTGTGGGGTTGCCTGCTCATATTCAGGAGGAGAAGGGGAACAATTGCAGCAAGAAAGCTGTTGTGCAAAGGGCAAGGGCCCCAAATCCTTCAGCTGGATGGGGATTGTATTTGGGAGAAGCGATTGTGTGTGGGGAGGAGTATAGAGCAATGGTATCTAATTGCCAGCCCCAGCTCCACCACCCACTTTGGGCACCAGCCTCTGCTGCTAATTACAGCAGAAACACAAATGCTAAAGACAGCTGGTAGATCTGCGTTAACTCACCACTTCAGCTGTTCTGCCCATTAAAACAACACTTCAGACAGACTTTCTTCTAAAGCGCAAGCCTGGAGCCTGATCCTGCACACACTTACTGTCAGGTGGAGCCCTTACCATGGTGAGTAGTTCCCGTGACTCTTGGCGGTAAGCAACAGGTCTGGTAGTGAGTGTTTGCAGGATTAGATCCTTGAACAGCAACAGTGGCCATGTATGTGCTTTTACTTTTACAGATGGTACCTCAGGAAATTGCTCTTTAACCAGGATCAGCAATATCGCACACTAACTAGTTCTTAAACTGACACCATGATTTATAAATTGTATCTTGGCTTGAGATAGTAATAGTAATATTTTCTCTGGTCTTGATGTACAAGTCCTTAGTGGATAGCAGTACTATCCCATCTCAGAACTATCCCTTATCGCAGCAGATACTGATTAGCATAACCTTGGGTGACCATCGCAGCTAGGAGGCAAAGGACTAAATAGGCAAGGAGACTAAAACCACCATTTTACCTGCTCCGAGTCCGGGCTGAGACACATTGACATTGTAGGAGGAGGACGCTGGCAATACGACTGCCTGGGCCATGTTTGTTTTCTGGCCAAACAGAGGAATCCAGGGCCAGATCCCCAGCTGGTGTAAAAAGGCACCTCACCACCGAAGGCAATGAGCTTTGTTCATTTATACCAGCTGAGAGCAGGCTCTGGGCCTCAGTCTTCGGCACTGTGCATAGAACAACTAACTACAAGTTTAGAGATGGGAAAAATAAATATGATTTCCTCTCTTCTGG